CTCTCTCTCTCTCTCTCTCTCCCTGCCTCCTTAGTCCCTTTCACAACCTTCAAAGGCAGCAATTCCCTGTATTTGGAGAGCTGAGGCAGTAAGATTTTCATATAGAGACCAGCCTGATTTATATAGTCAGTTTCAGGACATCCTGGGATAAATAATATGACCCTCTCATGTAACAAAGCAAAGCAAAGCAGTGCCAGTAGTGTGAACTCCTCAGATTGCAGGCATTATTTCTTTCTGCCTCTATATTTCACTAAGAAAGGCTGGCCCTGTCTTATGCAACATGCCTCATGGAGTTATGTCAACTTCCAGGAGTTACCAATTATTGTCTTAACTTCAAATGCTAGATAAACTAGATGAAGCTTTGTCCAATCTATGAAGCTTGATAGTAATGTTATCCATTCCAGAGGGCAATTAGAAATACTTAGCATTGCAACTGGTTCCTATTAAGCAACAGATAGATGGTAGCTTTCTGTGTGCAATTTGTTATCATACTTCTCTTAAAGCCCATCACTTTACTTCACTGGACTCTATATCTATAATTCTTTCATTCTCTCCAAGTTTATTCTGGATTAAGAGTTTAGGAAAAGTATATTTATTTGTTCACTCAAGAGTAATTTCCTTAGCCTTTTGCACTATACTGGTGTCTATGGCTGTGCAGAGACGAGTAGAGAGGAGACTCAAATAACTATCACACATTTGGTGTTTAATACATATTGTCTGTCTGGTTCTAATCTGGTAGTTTTCCTCCTCTGAATGTAGATTTTTTATTTTCCCAGGAAGATATTTTGTTCCCAGGAACAATCAAGATGATTTTTAAAAATAAAACTAGAGAAAACCGTAAATTATCAATTCATATTGGGAAGCATATACTTGTGTTAAGAATTATGATAATATCGTAGACTTTGCTCAGATCTGATTACACCTCAAGGGATAAACACAAGCATGGCAATCAGTATTTACCCTAGTAGGTACTGGGGCTCTGGGATCTCAGAAACATTGACTTTTCCTCCTCCCAATGCCTAGTTTGCTGGCATTTTCACCCAAAATGCAAACTACCCATTTCCTTTATAAAACAACAATAATGATATAAAAAAACAATTCCAGACTGCCTTGAGCTAAAATATCAGATAGATAACAGCCTGCCTCTCATACCACTTTCTTACATCCTGACATACCATATCAACCAGTCATATCCTGGGAAGTTTTGACAAATAAAAATAGCTACATAACTAACTTGTCCCTCAAACATTTGGGCCTTTGAGCATTCTGTTGTCAATGTTTTTCCCTGCCTGAGGAATTTGGCATCATCCTTTAAAGATCAGCTCACAATTGATTGTATTCAGTAAGCTTTTTCTTTTTCTTCTTTTTTACTTTGTCTTGTGTGCATGTGCATATGTGCTTGTGGTTGTGCTCTCTTATATGTGTGGAGGACAGAAACAAAATCTGAATCTTTACCTTTTCCCACATATTTTTTCTTCAGACAAGATCTGAAGTATGGTTGATTCTCAAGTCCCTAGGATCCATCTGTCTCCTCTCACTGTTATGGGTACAAACATACACCTCAATGCCTGACTTTAATGTGTTTGTTGAGAAACCAAATTTAGATCCTCATCCATGTGCAGCAGTCTCTTTAACTACTATGATATGTATACAGCTCCTCTTTTCAGTTTTGACTATATCTTTGTGGTATACTTCAAAACTCCTAATTACAATGCTTAGTCTGATGGGGCATTGGGACAAAATCTGGTGAACATTAACAAAGAGTGGAGTGGAAATACATGGCATGGCTAAACATGTAGTGAGAACTGACAGATTGCAGGAGTTGACCAGATGAAACTGGGAAGGGAAGGAATATACACTAAGAAAACACTTTGTATAAAGTACCTGAGTGAACCACTGATGTGTGGTTCACATAGCTGGTGTATTGTGAATGAGAATCTGCAATTTTGGAAACAGGATACTGAGAAGTAATGAAAAACATACTACACAGGACTTTTAAGGCCAGCACTTTACTCTATGCTGAGCAAGATACTATCAGATGGCATTTTACAGGTAAGTGACATAATACATTTTATAGTTTTAAGAGACATGCCTGTAGTAATCAAGATCATGCATCATGATGAAAGTATAAATAATGGAAATGGGGAGGAGAGGGCACAATGTAGGATTTAAGTTGGAGACTGAATATAAGACTTTGAAATGTACTAGGCATTAAGATGCCAGACAGATTTATGGTGAATATCACCTTTAGGTATTTTTTAAAGGAGCATCTGGGTAAATAACTCATCTAATACTTGAAAAAAGAACAATAAAGGAAAACTCTGTGTGTGTGTGTGTGTGTGTGTGTGTGTGTGTGTTTAATGGGGGTTTCTTTGAACATATAAAAATTCATTTGAAAGAACTAGCCTAAGGTATCAATTTTTGATAGTTATTAACATTAAAGAGGTATGGTGGTTTTCATACACACTTATCATCAGCATTTTTGTGACCCTTTTCTTCATTCTTCACTGTTTTTTTACATTCTATGTGTTTCCCAACATAGGGCAGTAAAAAAATCTGATAGTTTCTGCCGGTTTCCTTTAAGACTTTTGTTCTCCAGAGGCTTCCATCTATGGATATTCCCTTTCGGAACCCAAATGTTATGCTGTGCAGTCACACAATATGCAGGTGAACAGTCCTAGATGAGTTTGTCCTTAACTCTTCATGGACCATCTGCGTATGAGGTGACTTCAAATCCTGATCCCTTTATCAGGCATCTGGAATCTCTTTGATCTTGGTTTAGGATCCAACTTTTGTGCTTCTAAACACAACTGGAGTTTTGCAGCTAATATGTCTACATCCCAATAAATACAGTCCAAGGCATTTACAGGGAGAAGATGTCTCTTTCAGATACTATGGTTAATAAAGCCATTCCATGTTTGAGTCACACTGTCTGTGGCTCCAGAAATCATGTAGTAGAGACAAGTTGTGCTCTTTCGACTGTCTTGACCTATGAGTAAGATAATGTGTTGTTTCACTTAGGTTTGTTTGTTATACAAGAGAAAATTAAAGTGTATGGTAACCTAAGCCAGGAGACAACAGATCACTCAGGGATAGTGTGAAGAAGGAAACAAACCACCTTAGGGAAACACAGACTTAAAAAGAAAGGGAAAGTTGAGCAGGAAAAAAACAATCACACACAGAAAGGTGGTTCTTGGGAGAGTGTGGTGTCATGGAAGCAGAGCAAATTTCAAAGATAAAGTAGTTGTGAACAGTATGCAATGCTCCTGACAGGTCAAGTAAGATAAGTGGGGAAAGCCTTTAGGTTCTAGGAGGGAGGATAGTGATGACTTAGCAAGAACAGTTTCACCAAGAGCAGATAACAAAATTCTTTGAGAAAGACAGCAGAGAGGAAGTACAAAGGAGGGGTTGGCCTTGAGCTAAAGAGAGGCTTTTGTCCTGTGATAAAAGAAGACAAGTAGAGATTGACATGTGAAGCAAGCTTGTCTCTAATTTAAATAAAAAATACTATATACAAAGAATATTTAGCAATAAAGTATATTTTAATGGAAGGCTAAAAAAAAGAAGACAAGTAGTACCAGCATATTTCAGGTTTATAGTAAGTCCAAGAGGTTCCCTTCTGAAGATTTCTTTTCTATCCTGGACTAAGATTTTTGAGGACAAAACAAAAGGAGTTATTATTTTTCTAACTCTGTCTTATATCCCTCCAATCTTTTTTTTTCTGGGACAGGGTTTCTCTGTGTAATACTGGATGTACTGGAACTCACTCTGTAGACCAGGCTGGCTTCAAAATTATAGAGATCCACCTGCTTCCCAAGTGCTGGGATTAAAGGCATGTGCCACCATCTCCAGGCCTCTCTAATCTTATCAGCTTCACATCCAGTTTTGCATGCAGAGTAGAGCTGAAGAATACTCATCCTGCATCTCTTCACAGGGCAAGGATGTAGGGGGAAGGTAGAGATCTGGAGAGATGCCTGTCCCACCTATAAATATGGCCCCTGTACCCCTAGGTTTTTCTCTGCGTGAGCTTTACTTTGCATTTAAGAAAAATTCATTTGAAACTGACAAGTCATCAATTATGTTACAGAAAAAAATTTAAATGGGTTTTATGTTTCTAGAGTGAAAACAGCAGCTACTTGAAAGAATACTATTCTGACTTGGATCTATCATAATCTGAATTGGCTTTTTTAATGTTGCTCTGCCTGTTCTGGAAATTACTATGTAGGATAGACTGGCTCCAAACTCATGGAGATATACTTGCAAGTCCTTCTTTTACTTTGGAGAACAATGCTTGTGTGTGTGTGTGTGTGTGTGTGTGTGAGAGAGAGAGAGAGAGAGAGAGAGAGAGAGAGAGAGAGAGTGTGTGTGTGTGTGTGTGTGTAAAACACTCTCCTGACAGGCAGTGGTGGCGCACGCCTTTAATCCCAGCACTCGGGAGGCAGAGGCAGGCGGATCTCTGTGAGTTCGAGGCCAGGCTAGACTGACAGTCTCCAAAACAATACAGAGAAACCCTGTCTCATAAAACCAAAAAAAAAAAACCACTCTCCCTAGGATATTTTTCCCATTCACAGCAGCCAAGTAAGTTTCTCAAGTATATCTCTTGAGATTACCTCTAAGATGACTCAGAACACTATGAAAAAGAAAGGTGCCATGCATTCCCTAACATATAGCTTAACCAATCAGATGTTCTCTATCACTTTACTTGAAATATTGCTAAATAAGAATGGTACTCAATGGGAAGGGAAACATGTCTGGAACTGTAAAGAAAATACTGTTTCCATCTCTTTCATGTTGGGTAAAGAGTCATTCAAAGCCATGTTTCCACACAGGATCCATCTTGGATCACTATAACTGTTCTGATGCTCTAGAGAAAACATTTTTCTCATATGTTATAATAGTGTTAAGAAGAGGAAAGTTTAGGGTATCAGAGTGGGTATCAAAGTCAAAAATATAGTACTAACTGTATATAAGACTAATCAATGAAAGTATTCAAGCACAAGTACAATTCATAAAGGATTTAATAAACAGCCGCTAAACATTGCACCAAAGCATTTGAAAACACAATTTCTACAGAGAGGCAAAGGTCAAGCTTTCATTTTATATCCTTAAGACAATCATTAACAGCCCCCCATCCCACCCCCATCCCTACACATCCACAAAACTACATTCTTCTAGTCATAAATTTACCTACAGACACAGTCTTAAGAATAATGGGACTGGCATGCATTATCCCAGCAATGGCAAGGAAGCAGGGGTTAAGGGAAAGATGGATTAAAGGCAACCAGCAGCTAATGATACACCCCTTAGGAGCTTTGTTCAGTGGGTGGGCAAAGAACCTACTTGTGGCTTTACCTTGGACATTCTGGGTACTCTGGGCTAGTTGAGGTATTCAGATCCAAAGTGTCTGGGGCTGTTTATTGAACAGTCTCATTCCTTTGAGTAATTACTACTGGAAGTCATCTTTTTGGGGAATGCATTGTTACCTTTCTAAAGACCTTTATAGTGTCAAACTGTCTTCATGACACAGAGGGCCAACTGTGGCTGTGCTCATTCTAAAGTAAGAATGGCCCTGGCTTCTCAGATATACCTTCATTTTGGCCTTTGGAAATGGGTATAGGATATTTCTTTATCAATGACATTTGTAAGAATTTCAGGCAAATTATTCAAACTTCTAGAACTGCCTTATAAAAATTGTGTGTTTTTATCTGTTCTTTTGCTTACATTTAAGAACAAAATGAGATCAAGTGGCCTCTAATGCATTATAAAATTGCTAATAAAGCTAATAAATTAACTGACTCAAAAATAAATAGAGATATTTGTATGAATCTGTAATTCATTTCTCATTGCAATTGGCATCCAAAGCAGGTGAGAAGTCCTTGACACAATGGAAGCAAAATGACTGGGCCTGAAAGAGGAGTGTGATATGTACAATGTGGATGGAAAAGTTTGACTTTCCACTGTTTGTGGCCCTTTCTTTTGAGGCAGCCTTCAACTACTACCAAACATCTTATTCTTCTACTATTTGACTAGTTGCCTTGGCAGGGAGGTGAGTTTCTTAGATTACCTGTCTTTGAACAATTCTTATATAGGCATTTGATCTGGATAATTTTGTGTGTATGTGTTTTAATTTAACTTAAAAGAGTCTTCATTTTTCCAGAAGGGTTTGTAGGCAGTCATGAATCCACAGTAAGCAATAGTCAGTTGGCTATAAGGGGCTCAGTGTTATTGAGGCAGGGGACTTTCCTGAAGGAGACATATATTGAGGTGCTGCTTTCCTGAGGGGCTAGTTGAAACTACAGTAGCACCTAGTCTTTTAATGCTGGAATGACCCAATTAGTTCCCTCTTTTTGTCATACATGTTTGACAGAGGTGAGGCTCAATTGTCCCCACTGACCTACAAGTCAAGAACCTGTGTAGGAGTCAGTTCAGAAGTTTGCATAGGCTTCTTCACATTTTACAAGTTCATAGGTCTAGTAGGCCCTGCTGGGGGCATAGGAGGGGCCAGATTGATAAAATTATATGAGATAGCTAGGCCTAACTTCATAGTGAGTCAGAATCATCCAATGCAGCCCAGCTCCTGAATCTCAACATCCTGGATCTCACACAGCCAAGGTTTCCACTAGAAGTAGAGTCTCCTGTCCCTTCTTCAGTGGACAGAGTAAAATTAAATACATGCAGTGCCCTCAGCTGGGGGAGACTGGCATACTGAGATGAGCAACTGGACAAATGGCAGTGTTTGGCTCAATCCAAGCAATGTTCAATGGACAAGTCATTTTTCTGTTATTACATTTTCATTGAGGTTTATAAATGTGAATTGAGAAAGTGATTACACTCAGCCTGGAACAGGGTTAAAAAGAAAAATCATGAAACACATGAAGGGAGCCCTGGTTTTGGTGTTTGGATGCTTCATGGGGTATACAGTGCTCTGGTTGCTGTGCCGCCACTATTATCTACTGTTTGCGGATCATGCCCTTGATAGCTGATTCACGGTTCACATATGTGGCCCAATAGACAAGATTGAATATGGCAAAGAGCACAGGAAAGATGATGCGGGAAATTTTGTCAACCTTGCTGACACTGTTGTAGGTCTTGGTCTCAGCAGGACTGTCCTGCACGTAAGTGGCCTTGGGTGAAGCGATGACTGTTGGAGTTGAAGAAGCACTGGGAGCAGCACCCTTGGAGATGGTGGAGAACTCAGCATCCTTGGCCAGGTTCATAGGATAGGTGGTTCCCACAATGTTGAAAGTGGTGCTTGTTTTCTTTGTTGGGGCTGCTGGTGTTTTCCTCTAGAGCCAGAAAAAAAGAGGGGGAGGGGGAGAACAAAACAAATAAAAGATGATGAATTCATTGCACAAAGTACCTTTGTAGACTGCAGGGAAGAAGAGCCATGAGGGACATTAAAGAACCTACTAAGTAATATATTTTACATAGGGACAGTATTTTTGAAAAAAGAAAACCTGCATGCACCATTTTAACTGTCCTAGTCAGTCCCAGTTGTCACCTTGACACAGTCTTAAGTCACCTGAGAATGGAGTCTCAATTGAGAGACTGCCCACATCAGGGTTAGTTTCTTGGGTATATCTCTGGGAACATGGCTTGATTGTTCATTGATGTAGATGGGTCTAGATCACTTCGGACATCACTATTCTTTAGGCAGGTGGTATTATACTGTAAGAAAGCTCAGACAGCAAGCATCATTCCTACATAGTCTCTGCTTTAAGATCTTGCTTGAGTCCTTGTCCCAGCTTCCTTCAATGATGGACAGTGACCTGGAGGGTATAAACCAAATCAACCCTTTCCTATTTCAGTTGTTTTTCACCAGTGTTTTATCTCAGCAACAGAAAGAAAACTAGAAAATTCTAGTTATGTGTCTTTGAATAAATCACTACTCCTTTGTGGGCTTCAGTTTCTTCATTTATAAACTGAAGATGAAAATAACTAGCAGATTATTGAGAGGATCAGAGGGGAGAATGGCAGTGGAAATTGCTAGGAAATGTGAGGTTTTATAGATTGCATGATTTCATCCTTCACCTTATGAAGTAGGTGACATTATTCATACTTAATATGTAAGTCGGCCTCAGATTAAATGGCAGAATACATACTACCAATCTGAGTTCCTGACTTATGTCCATAGATACACTGTGTCATTTTGTATAGTACAAGGTACTCTTGGTTACCCGAGGAAAAAACTTCAAAAAGGCTGCAGCCGTCAAGGGGAACACCTCCTGTGAAGAAGAGAGCTTGGTGAATCTGCAAAGTCATTCTGTCATAAAGAGCATAATACATACTATGGAATATTTACGTGCATCATCACAACAGCATGCTTCCCTCATGCACTATAAATGTGCTTAGCAAAGTAGGAGGTATACAAAGGTTTTTTCCCTCTTGCCAGGCTGCTAGCAGGAGTCACAGCGTCCCTACAAAGCTGAAGAAATGACTTCTTCTGATATAGCAAAAGTAGACAGCAGGAAGCTTGCTATGACATTGCCCTTTAGGAGCTTTTTTCCCAACATAACTATCCCCAAAACACAGTAAGAAGTGCTCTCGCTCTCTCTCTCTCTCTCTCTCTCTCTCTCTCTCTCTCTCTCTCTCTCTGTCTGTCTCTCTCACTGTCTCTCTGTCTCTTTCTCACATACATTCTCTGTCTCTCTCTTTCTCTCTGTCTCTCTCTTTCTCTCTCTCTCTTTCTCTCTCTCTCTCTCTCTCTCTCTCTCTCTCTCTCTCTCTCTCTCTCTGTCTTCACATAAATGCGTTCCTGTATATGTGGTGCTGCATTGGGGTTGCCATGCTTAGGTTTGGATTGGAATAGAGAGGCTGCATGGCATGGTGACTACAAGAGCAAGCTAGCTCCTAACTGCAGCCCAAGGCAGGGGCCTAGTTCAGTACATAAAAACTCTTCCCATGTCTTCCCTTCAGAAGTCTCAGTCGCTTTCTTGATGCTTATCAGAAGCTGGAATTAAATTCTGTAATCCCCCAGTTCCTTAGTCGTTTTCTTACTAAGTTTCTCAGTTCCTTTTGTTGCTCCTTTCTCCTAATCTCCCTGTTTTAATTCTTCAGAATTCTCAACACTTCTGTCTTCTGTCATTCAATCACAGCACCATTTACTTTCCTGATTCAAATAAGCACTTTTGTATATTTATTGAATATCAAAGCCAAAACATATGCTGGATATTTAGGATTAAGGGGGAAGGTTAGAAGTTGTTATACTCCAGTCGCTTTCTCCTAGGTGCTCACAGCCTGTTGTTGAAGAAAATCCTATAAAAACATGATTTCCATAATGTGTAACCTGAGTCATAACCATTTTGAGTTAACTGTTATGAGTGTATCTGCATGTGTGGGAAAGGCAGCTCAAGGCAGGCTGTGAGGTTTCCAGTCTGAGTATTAAAAGTTGAACAGGAAAAAAATCACAATTTAAAAACAGTCTTCTTGTGGAGCTTCTAACAGTGGAAGTAGGAATTGTCTCTCTTTTGCTGACTTTGGGACCCTACTCCTCATACTGGGTCATCTTGCCCAGCCTTAATACATAGGGAAGTGCTTAGTCTTACTGAAACTTGAAATGCTATGATTTGTCAATATCCATGAGAGGCCTACCTTTTTCTGAACAGAATTGGAAGAGGAGTAGACTTAGGGGTAGAAACATAAGGGGTGGGGGAGGGACAGGGAAGAGAGGAGGAAGGGGAAACTGTGGCTAGGATGTAAAATAAATTTTTAAAAAGGTAAGCATGAGTCACCAAATGATAATGCAGCAAAGGCTAGTGCATAGGAGTTTGCTGTGGCTGATTCACAGTGAGCACAGCAAACAAGTTGTAAGAACTGAAGGAAAGGCCAGATCTTTGCGCCATCCCCTGTACTTGGGTTGGTGACTAACATTGGACCCAGGGGAACTCTGCTGAGGAGAGGGAGGAGGAATTGTAGGAGGCAGGAGGGAGGGCAGTTGAATAGGGATATCATATGAAAGCCCATACAAAGGAGTACCCTACATAACCAACAGAACACAGGAGTCAGAAGAGAGAATCTCAGACATTGAAGATTCACTAGGAGAAATAGATTCACCAGCCAAAGAAAATCTAAAGTCCAAAAAATCCCTAACACAAAATATCCAGGAAATATAGGACACCATGGAAAGGCCAAATCTAAGAATAATAGGGATAGAAGAAGGTGAAGAAACCCAGCTCAAAGGTACAGAAACCATATTCAACATAATCATAGAAGAAAACATCACCAACCTAAAGAAAGGCATGCCAAGGAAAGTACAAGAAGCCTACAGAACACCAAATAGAGTGGGCCACAAAAAGTCCCCTCGCCACATAACAGTAAAAACCCAAACATACAGAAAAAGAAAGAATATTAAGAGCAACAAAGGGAAAAGGTCAAGTGACATACGAAGGCAAACCAATCAGAATTGCATCTGACTTCTCCATGGAAACTCTGAAAGCCAGGAGGTCCTGGATAGATATTCTACCAACACTAAGAGACCACAGATGCCAGCCCAGACTGCTATACCCAGCAAAGCTTTCAATCACTATAGATGGAGAAAACAAGATATTCCACCACAAAACCAGATTTAAACAATACATATCCATAATCCATCCCTACAGAAAGTACTGGAAGGAAAGCTTCAATCTAAGGAAGGTAACTATGCTCAAAAACATACATAATAGATAATCCAACATTACCAAAAGACAAAATAAAAAGGGGGTAAATCCACAAACACTAACACCACTACCAACAAATCAAAAACAAACAAGAATTAACACTAAATGGTCCTTAATCTCCCTCAATATTAATGGTCTTAATTTGCCTATAAAAAGGCACAGACTAACAGAATGGATATGAAGACAGAATCCATCCTTCTGCTGCATACAAGAAACACACCTCAACTTCTAAGACAGACATTACCTCAGAGTAAAGGGTTGGGATAAAATTTTCTAATCAAATGGATCCAAGAAACAAGCTGGTGTAGCTATTCTAGTATCTAACAAATTAGACTTCAAACTAAAATCAATCAAAAGAGATGAATGAGATCATTTCATCTTCATCACAGGAAAATCCATTAGGAAGAAGTCTTAATTCTGAACATCTATGTCTCAAATACAAGGGTGCCCACATTTGTAAAAGAAACATTACTAAAACTCAAATCACACATAAGACCTCACACATTTATAGTGGGAGACTTCAACACCCCACTCTCACCACTAGACAGGACCACCAGACAGAAACTTAACAAAGAAACAAAGGAACTAACAGAAGTTATGACCCAATTGGTTTTCACAGAATCTATAAAACATTCTACCAAACACAAAAGAATGTATCTTCTTCTCAACACCACATGGGACCTTCTCAAAAATCGAACACATACTTGGCAACATAGCAAACCATCACAGGTACAAAAAAATGGAATAACCCCCTGTATCTTATCAGACCACCATGCCTTAAAGTTAAAATTCAACAACAATACAAATTGCAGAAACCCTACAAACTCATGGAAATTGAACAATGCACAGTTGCACCATTCCTGGGTCAAGGAAGAATTAAATAAAGAAATTAAAGACTTCCTAAAATCCAATGAGAAAGAAGACACAACACACCCAAACTTACGGGACACTTTGAAGGCTGTACTAAGAGGAAAGTTTAAAGCACAAAGTGCACATATGGAGAAACGGGAGAATAGTCACACTAGAGATTTAACAGCACAACTGGAAGCTCTAGAACAAAAAGAAGCAAACTCACCCAGGAGGAGTACACACCAGGAAATAATCAAATTGAGGACAGAAATCAATAAAGTCGAAACAAAAATAACACAAAGAATCAATGTAACAAAGAGTTGGTTCTTCGAGAAAATAAACAAGATAGACAAACCTCTATCCAAACTAACTACAAGGTAGAGAGAGAACATGCAAATCAACAAAATCAGGAATGAAAAGGGAGACATAACAATGGACACTGAGGAAATCCAGAGAATCTTCAGGTCATACTTTGAAAACCTATACTTCACAAAATTCGAAAATTTAAAGGAAATGAACAATTTTCTGGATATACATCACTTACCAAAATTAAATCAAGAGCAGATAAGCAATTTTAAGAGACCTATAACCCCTAATGAAACAGAAGCAGTCATGAAAAGTCTCCATAAAAAGCCCAGGCTCAAATGGCTTCAGTGCAGAATTCTACCAGAAATTTAAAGAAGAGCTAATGTCAACACTCCTCAAAGTGTTCAACTCAATAGAAACAGGAGGTTCATTGCCAAACTCTTTTTACGAAGCTACAATTACCTTGATACCTAAGCCACACAAAGACACAACTAAGAAAGAGAACTACAGACCAATCTCCCTCATGAACATTGATGAAAAAATAATCAATAAAATACTGGCAAATCAAATCCAAGAACATGTCAGAAAAATCATACACCATAATCAAGTAGGCTTTATCCCAGTGATGCAGGGATGGTTCAACATACGAAAATCTCTCAATGTAATTCACCATATAAACAATCTGCAAAAGAAAAACAACATGATCATCTCACTTGATGCTGAAAAAACCTTTGACAAAATCTAACACCCCTTCATGATAAAGATCCTGGAGAGATTAGGGATAACAGGAATGTTCCTGAACATATTAAAAGCAATATACACTAAATCAACAGCTAACATTAAACTAAAGGCAATTCCTCTAAAATCAGGAACAAGAGAAGGTTGTGCTCTCTCTCCTTAGCTCTTCAATATTGTACTTGAAGTTCTAACTAGAGCAATAAGACAAGAAAAGGATATCGAGGGGATACAAATTAGAAAAGAAAAAAAAATAAAAGTTTTACTATTTGGAGCTGATATGATAATTTACATAAGTGACCCAAAAAGCTCTACAAGGGAACTCCTACAGCTGATAAATACCTTCAGCAGGATACAAGGTTAACTAAAAAAAACAGTAGCTTTATTATATACAGACAATAAGTGGGCTAAGAAAGAAATCAGAGAAACATCACCCTTTACTATACCCACAAACAATATAAAATATTTGGGGATAATGCTAACCAAACAAGTGAAAGACCTGTAAAGCAAGAACTTTGAGTCTTTAAAGAAAGAAATTAAAGAAGATACCAGAAAATGTAAAAGCTCTCCCATGCTCTTGGATTGGTAGGATTAAAATAGTAAAAATGGCAATCTTGCCAAAAGCAATCTACAGATTCAACTCAATCCCCATTGAAATACCGACACAATTCTTCACGGGC